TTATTACCTGATCTGTTATGTTCACTGGTTCATCAGTCCAATTCAGTCTCTTAATAAATCAGGTTGAAGTCTTCCAAATGATCTCTTCTTATTGGGATTAAGTTGGCTCATGCAGTTAAAGTGACGCAAGTCCTTGGGGATAATTGGCAAGGCGTATAGCTATGGGATGCTTGAGAGGTGGTTTAAGTTTTAATGGACTAGAGAGAATGTAAAAAAAAAAAAATTGAAGCTCACTTTGGCCAGAGCACTAAAATGTGTCCCTGAAAGACAAGGATTATAGCTGCCTTGTAAGGACAAATGTCACGCTGATAAACCACAAGTGGTCCAATCAACAAAGATGATTTGAACATAATGGTATGCAAGAGGAGGTCACAAAAGTAGGGCAGCTTTTATCAACTTAATCCTCTCTCAACTTAACTAATGGTGCTGTTGATGGTTTTTGAATCCACAACTAGAACAACAATGGTGTTCATGACAGAGATGGGAGGAAAAATCTGCTCTCCAAAAAGATCTCCAACGCTTTCCGTGTCCACGAGATGGCGAGACCACTCCCTATGACATAAATTTCATCATCAGACAGTGACCCCAAAGGTTGGCGTGGAAGTTCCTGTGCCTGCCAGTTTTCTGTGACCACTAACCACCACGACTAGTCCACAAATAATTTACATTAAAATACATATTTTTAAGTGCAAAATGCAATTAACCATAACTATGCATGAGCACATGCAGTGGACTTGGCTTAAGTGATATGCAATATGAGATTATTTCATTTCATCATCATCACCATCATCGTTTATTTGTATAGCACTTTAAGAACACACCAGGCAGACCAAAGTGCTGAACAACACAGATCAAAACTACTAGCAAAATTAAAAATACAATCAAATTATTAAAAATACAATCAAATTAATAAGAAAGATGTCCGTTTCCTACAGAGTTAAAAGCAAATGCATTTGGAAAAAAGTGGGAACTTCATAATCTCATATTAGAGGGGGGCTGCATCTGTCTCTCATCTTATGATATGAGTTACACTGGTGAGGTCTCTGTGGATTCTGTGTGGATGTGTGTGAGTGAATTGCTTTCATATCTGTAAAATATTTGGCAGAAGGCCCAGTGCCTCCCTCTCTTCTCAATGCTGCCTTGCAGTGTTGCTGATAGAGCACCGGTAAACAGCTGCCTCTTATCGCTCCAAGCCAACAGGTGTCCTTGTGAGAAGGATTCATGACGTAAATGCCGTTGACCAGGCCAGCAACCTCAAACTGCAGTCACACCGCCAGGGAAGAAACGTAAGGTATGTGGTTGTAAATTGCATGGATGACCTCCGAAAACATCCAAAAACTTTGTTTTCAAGATTGGCCTTCATGACAATTTGTGTGCTATGCCAGAAAACTATGTCATTCAGATACTTTTTGACCATGAAGCGATGCTCAAAGGTCTCTTTTGGCACAGTTTATTATTTTACACAGGTATTTTCATGATAGATACATAAATGGTCAGTCTGCACATAAGACCTGTACTTACCAACCAACCAGTACTTTCAATCCTCAGGTCAAAGGGGTTTTTTTGTTAGTTTTTTCTATTTTTTTGTCTTGTCATGCATATTGAAGAACAAAGGTAAATTTTAGAAAACAGAACATTATGGCACAAAAACAGAAGCTTGATAAGAACAAAAGGAGACTCACCAGTGGTAACTATGGCAACATATTGGTATGGCTTTATAGCAGTGATTTATGCATACATTAGTTGCACTGTTTATTTTGAAGCCTTTGTTCCACTTTCCTAGCTCTCGGATTTTAATACAATAAAAGGAAGCTGAAGTTAGATTTTCTGAGTGTCTTCTTACATTCATGTGTTCCATTTTTTGATCCCATTAGAATTGCTTTGAAATAATTTTGAAGCCACTGTTCTGCGTGGTTATGGCTGGTCTGTTTCAGTCAGGATACATCCACAAAGAGACACGTCTCCTTTTCATGAAACTCATATACAGTTAGGTTTTTTTCTCTTTCATTTTTCCATTGTGCATCACTGCAGAAGATTTTGAAAATATTAGGCTGCGAACGAAGTGCGACTTCCAGCTTTAATAAGGGGTTTAACAAAGGTTTTAAATGTACTTTTTAGGAATTACAAATGTTTTTATACACTGTCTTCCATTTTTAGAGGCTCCGAAACATTTGGACAAACTAATAATTTTTAACAGAAAAATTTTTCCTAATATTTATAACAAATTTAAGAGGAAAATACTTTGAAATACTTTGAAATCAGTGACTAAAATGTGGAACAAATACTGCGGTTCCTCCCTTGAGATACTCTGTTCAGTTTTGTCTTCAGTAACTGAAAACCAGCTTACATGGGTTGAAATTAGATAAACCGACTGTTCCACTCAAGAATATACCATATTGTATATAACATACCATTTCATTTACCTTGAGGAACATTTGGTTCGCTTTTGCAGTGTTTCCATTTGCACTGGGGAATGAGTGTATTCCACTACAGAATACATGCCCCAAAATGTATTTTGTAACGTATTCCATTATGTTACTCAATTAGAGTAACGTATTCTGAATACTTTGGATTACTTAATATGCTATCATACTTTTTACAACTACATGAATGTACTATTGCTGTGTGATTTATTACTTTTACTGAAGGTTATTCGCCATAGCAATACCAACTAGATTTTTAAATCTTAATATAAAATGAGTAACAGTAGGGTAGACATTAGGTAAGGCTGCACTTTTTGCAGCGATCTCATATAGAAAACTATTCCGTGCGTATATAAAACAGGTCAGCGGCTCCGAACTGTAAAGGCATAAAACCCTAAAGGGACCTCTGGCTAATATATCGGGTTCGTGTCGGGCTTGTAGCCGAAAACTAGCTTTACTTTGTTGTCTGGGTCAACTTTGCTAGCGAGAGACAGAGAGAGGTGTTGAAAGGCTGCTCCAAAGGAACTTGTTGTTTCGGAGGAAAACGCGAACACAGCATACAGTTGAGTCTTAATAGCTTACTTACAACTGGGCTCGTCAGGCACTCTTCTTGGTTGCAGTGGTTATTATTATATTTACATGCTTCCAGCATAGAGCTGCCACCCAGGCAAAAGAAAAATAGAAGAAAAAGTTTATTGTTCTAACAATATACTTTTCACGTTTGAACAACATAATATCACATTATTACAATATACATAATTATCACGTTCGTACAATATAAATATTATATTGTATATTGTATTCTATAAGATACCACTTTAGCAATTTTTAAGCAATAAGTGTGATTGTGCAGGATTTTGTTAGAGCCTTTTTTTTTCCTGCCAAAAAGAGAATGCAAATATCCCAGCTGTTATTTTTGAATTTAAACATGCACTTAATCTCCAGCCTACTGCTGTCAATCATATGTAGCAAAAGATCAATATGGCTAAAAATTCAGCCAGGGACTTGGCCCCAGGAATGGCATTAAGGATTTTTAGTCAGGTTTAGACTGAAATATAACTCAATGGTTACTGAAAAATGTACAGTAATACAGATGTTGACTGAACTGACTTCTCCCTTTCAGCTGGCCAGCTTTTTTACTTACTCTGTAAAAAGAAATCTACAAATTGTTTTGGGAATTTATAATAAAAATATTATAAATGATCTTTTAATCTACTTGTGAATTTGTTGAACCTTATTTTAATGTGGCACTCGGTTTGGAGCAGAAAGTGACCATCCTCTGGAGCATAGTCAGAGACTCTGTAGAGATGAGCAATGTAATAAATCACTTTGACAGCATGCAAAAGTGTCCTTGAGTCTGTGTTTAGCAATAGTAGAAATTCTCATCATGCTACATAATTTAAAGTGTTGATGCAGATTTATGTCACTGCTCGTGTCTCGTGTCTCTCCTTGTGTCTCCCCAGTCTGTAGTCTTATTCGTGTCTACATGTTCCATGTTGTCAAGCTTGTGTTGTCTTGTCAAAGTCCCATTTTGAAGAGTCTAGTGTTTCTATGTTCAGTGTGTTTAGTTTTATTTCCCTGTGGTGTCAGGTTCATTTGTATCAGCGGTGTTTCTCCAGGTGTTTCCACTTCCCTCATTACCATCCTGTGTATTTAAGTCCTCTGTCTCCCTCTGTTCAGTGTTGCTTTATCTGTCCAACTTGCTTCATGTGACCTTGGGTCTCAGGATTTTCTTAGCTGCTGTTCAGGTTCATGTTTAGATTACTTCATGCTAAAGTTTTACATGTACCTGTTCAGTTTCATGTTCTCGTTTTTATGTTTAGTTTAGCTGTCCCCAGTTTAGTTTAGTTTTGGTTATGCCCCTGTTCGCCTTGTCTTGTTTTCTTTTCTTGTATTCAGCCTAATAAATGGCTCGGTTTGTGTTACACTTAGTTTTTCTTTCTTCCGTGTCCACTTTGCAAACACACCGGCCGCCCGGCCGTAACAGGTAGGTTAAAAATTGGTCTTTTTAACCTACTAAGTACTGAAACTGCAGGGGGGGGTTTGCTTTGTTTTTTGTTTTTATTTGAACTATTTGACCATCAAATTGTCACTACTTATTAATCAAGAGTTTTTAATCACTGTGACTGTACACTGAGCTGCAAACTGCTCTGGTGTGTTTGCAAAACACAATTATTTTTCTTCTGCCCCTTGGCTGCCTCCAAAAATTAATTTCTGAACGAAGGCAGTCCTGATGGAATCCAGTGTTAGTTCGTAACAGATGTGAGTTATTGCTGTTATTGAAGACCATACTCTCACTTCAGGTGTACAGGGACCAAAAAACCTGTAATGCGCCCTATGCCTCCTACTCTTGAATCATCCTCACAAAGGTGATTTCTTGAAGTCTATACATCATATGGTTGAGCTAATTCTCACCTACCCCAGAGCATCCTTGAGAGGGTAAAGAGCTTTTCCAGTTTAACACAATCATGAAGGAAGTAACACTTTCATTCCTGAATCACAGTGTTTTGACAAACAGGCAGGCTAAACTCCAATAACTATGATCTCCCTAAGGTTGGAACACACTGTCTGCTACTTATTGTTAAATATATAAATAGACATACACTCATCAGCCACTTTGTTAGGTTGGTCCACACTGGTCAGATAAGGTGTTAGTAATGCCATTGTCTCCGAGGATTAAATTAAAGGTTAAATCACATGTCGGAGTGACTTAATTACACAAATTGATCTTTGAAGTAATTCTGGAAGCAATATGAAACCTAAATTGAGAAAACATTTAATCTGTTAGCTGCATAAACTAAAAAATAAAAAAAGGCTTTGCAGGTGGGGGATCTATTTTCTTCTTTTCTTAACTTTTTGTTGTTGTTTTTTTCCCTGTGCTGTTACGGTTAGGTTTATAACAGATGAAAAACAAAATTAAGGCAACAGGGAGTACTTTGTTGGTTGCTAATGGTTTCAGAAAACATTATGAAAGATTTTATAATGGGCTTCATTACACACAAAAACTTGTAAACATGACAAAATGCAGGCATTCACCACACAGCGTCAATTATGCCTTAGGGGGCAATATTCTTGCGCATGTAGTGTTTGGTAGACACAAAGAAGAGAGAAAGCAGCGGCACTGAGCTGCAATGGTGAATGTGAAAACTCTTGACTTCTTAGAGCTTCTGAAATTTACTTTCTTCAAAGTCCTTGGTTGAAAAGGAAAAGCATGGCATCTATGTTAGTTTTAAAAGAAGAGATATAGAAGAAAGGTTGGTTCAGGACAGAAAATCTTATATAGCATAAACTGTTAAAAGTATTCACTATCATATCTATATGTCATAATTTTTGTTGACCAGTTTATGACTCGATTGCCTTTTTTTTTTTTTGCTGCAAAAAAATAAAATAAAAACAGTTGATAGTTTTGTATATCACTTAAATGTATTGGCCTACACATTAGCGGATCATTTAAAAGGAATGCAGTACATTATGTAGCGTAATATATATTAAGGGCTAAAATTATGATAATAATGACTTAGTCATAGGAGTAGTTGTAAACAGATCTTTGCACATTAATGCAGCAATAAATATTTTGGTATATATAAAATTACAGGCACACTTACCAAATAGGTACTTTTATTTTTCACAAGTGAACTGATTTATTCATGAGCTGTTGCTTGTTTCTTACTTCATCTGTTAAGCAGAACCTGACTCTGGCTTGATTTTCATTGTTTGTTTCTCTAACAGTCTTCATTGTTCTGCTCTTGATTCTCTTCCATGCTGCAGTAGACAGAACAGTAAGATACTAAAATAAGACTGAAGCTTTAAGTATAAGTTAAAACTCACATTATTTTGTCTGGCCACTCCTATATGTTTATATGTTTTATATATAAAATCAGGATAGCTAGGGTAAGCTCTTTGACTTTTTTCAAAAAGAAGAAGATAATTTCTGCTATATCTCCATTTATCGAGGTTTGCCACCCTGCCAAAAGTAAACATAATTGTTATTCTTTACACAGACATTTCCTTTTTATTGCTTTATTTGAAAAGTAAAATAGGAAAAACTGATCAAATCTTCAGATTACAAAATTTATATATATATTATTTATTAAATGTTGCTTCAATCAGTTTCTAACCATGATACCTTTGAAAGCTAATAAGCAATTATGTAACAGTATCCACAATTATTACACCGCACAATCACATCTACAGCATATAATCCTATTGATTAACAAATGAAAATAAAGATAAGCTAACTAGGTATTAGGCTACATTTCTCATAGCACAGAAATAATACAATATAGCTAGTTTCTAGGAAGATTATTGAGCTCTATGCATTATCCCCCTCCTGAAGTGAAGGAACCTGAACACTTTCGGCCTCTGAATGGACTGCCAGGACTTCTGCATCACCAATCCGCTCTGCAAAGAACACTCATGTCAGATTCATGCTAAGAGAGTAATTTTCCACATAGGGGAGACCGGGGATAGTTGTATCGTGGGTCAGTTGTAACACTTCCAATTTCTCCAATCAGGGCTAAGTTTCAAATGATGTGACTCATCCTGTGCATGCCCAAAGACAAAATCAGCACATTTTGTCAAACACAGACAATTTAACATGAAAAAAAGTAATTTGTATGCCAAAAAGTAAGTTTTTCTACTTTATTTCAATTTCTAATAGCATTATCTGCTTTGCAGTTAAACTCATCAAACTTAAATTATGTTATTTGTATGTCTATGGGGATATATTCTGTGTAGGTCTTTAGTGCTGGTGTTTTAGCCGTTGGCTGTAATGTTAGCTAGTTCATGGCTATAGGAGTCTGGGTCAGTTGTAACAGCAACAGTCTGGGTTAGTTGTAACAATAATGCAGATGTTACAACTTACCACACTATTACTTTAACTTATATTAAACAAGTTGGGGCAACGACATCAGCAGAGAGAGGTTCACTGGTCGCTTTTGTATATGCAGTTAATGCCATTGGCAACACAATTACTTCACTGTTTGTGTTCCCACACATACATTATGCAGACCACTGTGTCAGAGATGGACCAGTAAGAAGTATTGGTGGAAATAAATCAGGATGGGTGCAAGACACGGATTTCCTCATCTTTCTGAGACATGTAAATACTTTGCATTACATTTTGAATCCACTACCTTAAACGAGCTCCAATTTACAGACAGAAATGTCAAAAATGTTACAACTATCCCTGGTCTCCCCTACTACAGGTCCACATATCAAAAAAAGTGGAAACTCATTATGTTACACAGCTGTTTTCTGAATTTATTGGTTCTGACTCACAGCAGATTTTAAATTTGCTCTTATTTGAGCTGCTCAATATTCATATGAATAATTGGATCCCTTCTAAAATGCATTACTTATTTCCGCAAATGCCTTTCGGTTAGTTCTGCTTTTTTAACTTTCACAAAAAGGAATCATTTAAAGAAGCCTAAGTCAATCAAGACACAATCACTGGAGGAAAAGGAGCATTTATAAGAAGAGGCTGGCTGATGATGTCAGTCCAAAAAACTCATGCCAGCAAAAGAAGCTCAGAGACGAGCTGCCATTCAAGCCAAGGACAGACATAAACAGTGTGGCTTAGGGTGGCTTTGTAAAATGTAAAGGCCAAACTGTATATTAAATATACTCCGAAAGACAAGAAAAACTAAACTGTGCAAAACTTTACATGTTAAAATCATTTTTAAAAATACATACGTAACAGAGAAAGTCAAGCATAATCAAATTACCTGGTTTTTCATCAATGGCAGTTTGATTGACTTGGTGTGAACTGTGGAAGTGAATAAACAAGATTAAAACACATTTAGCTTGAAACATTTCTGTGCCAAAAAAAGAGCAAAATCTGACACTTCACTCTAACCTCCTCCTGTGTGGTTTTCCCCATGGCTGCTCAAATGATGCCGCATACACAGACAGAGACGCTCCTGGATGAAACGCCTGTAGCTGCTGGAAGTTACGGACAGAGAGGTCGACACCGTCCAGAGCTTGTCTGATCATCCCCATCACCAGATCTTTTTCTGCAGTTGATCAACAGTACAACAAGAGTAAAAGCAAAATTTAAATATTTACCGTAAAAGTGAATTAAGGTAATTCTATAACCATTATTTTTGTGCTGTCTCCTGCCCCACCCTGAGCCTGGTTCTGTCTGAGGTTTCTTCCTGTTTAAAGGGAGTTTTCTCCTTCCCATTGTGGCCAAGTGCTTACTCACAGGAGGTCGTCTAATTGTTGGGGTTTTCTCTTCATTATTGTATGGTCCTTACCATATAATATAAAATTCCTCGGGGCAATTATTGTTCTGATGTATTCTGATGTATCAAAAAAAGTAAATTGAATCGAAGAAAAACAATGTATGTACCTTTAAGCACCAGGTGCTTCTGTGTTACAATCTTTTTCAACGCCATTTGAAAGGTTTTTAAAGCTGATCATCAGGCTGGATCATGTGACTCTAAACAATCCCTTTGCTATGCTGCAATAGCCCTAGTCCACCAGAGAGGCTTCCAAATGTACATTGAGCATTTCTTCCCAACTAACTTTCCCTCCACTACTGTATTTAAACATTAGTAATTGTTCATCTCTAGCTCTCCTACAGTGTGTCTGTCGTCCTGTCTCTCTCTGCTCTCTTTCCCCTCACCCCCCACCGGTCACAGTGGATGGCAGCCCCTCCCTTGATCTCGTTCTGTCAGAAGTATATTCCTGTTAAAACAAGCTTTTTGCCCCTCTTATCAAGTAAATGCTCATAGAGGGTCATGTGATTATTGGAATTATTGGAGTACAGCAGTTTGTGAAATATTCAGACCAGCCCGTCTGGCACCAACAATCATACCATGTTCAATGTCAAATAAATTGCCCAACTCTGATGATGAGATATTGGCATTACTAAGCAGTTAAAAGAGCAACCTAAAAAAGTGGCCAGTGTGCATAGAAAAAATCCAAAGTGACAAATTAATTGCTAAAAAAGTAGGAGGGGGATGCAGTGCCAGACTCTTGAAAGTGCATGTATTAGGGAATGGTTTAAAGAACGCTTATTTATAACTGGAAATGGTAGTGTGCATATCTCCACTGTGTATGTGGAATGAGGATTTTTACCTCTTTGGCCTGAAAGAAGAAGCCACTGCTGCACTGTGGAGAGAGAGTCTGTCTGCAGGATCTGACAAAGTATCTCCAAAACCTGACAAGAAAGCGACAGACCGTCACAACAGTAGCTCAAAGATCACATGAAGTTTTATTGAACTTATTACTGAACTTCTCAAGAAACTTGGTGACAGTGTTTTGCCAGAGGATATTTTTCAGATATCTAATTAAGTGGAACTTTGACCAAAAGCTGTACCCTCTGTGATGTTGGATCTTGCCTTTTTAACCCTTTTTGTTTGTTTGTTTGTTTGTTTGTTTGTTTTAACCCCAAAACACCTCATATTATACAGTACAACTCAGGATCAGTTAACCAGTATTTTACCATAAGTTCTTGATCATGGAAGGGTTGAGGATGGCTCATGCGCTGGTATTGAGATTTGCGCAGGTAGGACTTGGAGGATGGAGGAATAAGTCTGCCAGTCTGAGCTGAATATTGAGTCTTTCGTCGGACAAACTTTTCCTCTGGTTGTTCCTGCAGTACATGGATACATTTTTCCAGTATGAAATCTTCTTGAGTTAGAAAGAAACTGAAGAACTCTACAAAATTAACTTAAATTAGAAAATATGTAAAAAA